GGTTTGAACCCACCATCTCCAGTATATGGGGCTGGCGCCCTACTCCTTTGAGCCACAGGCGCCACCCAGTTTTTGTAAAATTTTTATTTGATATCTAGCCTATAGTAAAGGGCATAAATCTGAAGTGTACTACTTGACGAACGTTTACAAATGAATACACCACCCAGATCAAGATGCAAAATATTGCCAGCATTCCAGAAGCCGTCCTCATGTCACAACCCACAGGAACTGTATTAAAGGGCCGAGGCATTAGGAAGCTTGAAAACCACTGATTTAAAGGCATATACATGAGGGGGCAAGGGTCATGGTGCGGTCACTTTAGAGTCTGTCTGCCGCAATAACTATTAGTAATATATTGGTGTCTAAGTGTACAGCTGTTTTTCTATATTTAAATAACTGATTTTTTAAAGCAAAAATGGCATCCTACAGTTTGTTTTGTAACTGGCTTATATAACAACATCACAAACAATGCAACATGAATATTTTCATGTCAGCAAGTGTAGATCCACATCATTTCTTATAATGGCTGCGTCATATCACTATACTATAATTTGTTTAATTAACCAAGTCCATCTGATTAAAGATCAATGTTGCTTATTGTCAGTGGTGAATTTTACAAGGCTGCCATATGAGTTCACGCAAGTGCCCATTTCCCCACACTGCCCCATTACTAGGTGATTCTGTTGCAGTCGGTGGCTCTTGACTAAAATGTCTATGTGGAACTGAACAGTCCTGTTTTCTCTGTCCTTTTCCTATATATCTATGTCTTAGATAAGAAGGCTGACTGCACGATCACAATGGCTGACTCTGACTTACTGGCTTTAATGACTGGCAAAATGAATCCTCAGTCGGTAAGTATGATGGAGCTCATCCCCTGCTGGGTCTTTTAGCCCTTCCCACTGCCTCTCCTGCCTCATACTCTAAACCACATAGTGATGAGACCGACAAAACTCAGTGCCAGCTACATGCCAGACACTGCCCTGTGTGCTGGCGTACCCAGGTGAATAAGAAATAGTTGCCACTCTCAAGGTAGGAGACAGATTTATAAAAGAGTAAGTGCAGCCAAGGGCCCAAGTTGCCACTCCTGGCTTGTGGTCAGTGAAGGATGGAGGAAGAAGCACCCTGTCTCCCTGGGCCGTCCGGGACAGTGGAAGGAGCAGTTGCACTGAGTACCCAGGGTCGCCAGAAGTTGGCAGCACTCAGGTAGAGAGTAGGAGTGCTCCGGGTGGTATGAGGAGCGAGTGAACACAGGCGCACGGTAGGAGGAGCTGGAGGAGCCGTGTGAACACAGGCACTGCCTCTTACGTTCTGTGTCCTTGCTTATGCTCTTCTTTGATCCTCAACTTTCTTCCCCAACAAACTCCCTGTCCTTTAACATCAGTGCAGGTGTTCTCTCCAAGGGCCTCCTTCCAAGTTGTTGGGGAGCCAGTCCCTCTTCCTGGCTGCTTATTGGACAGTTAGCTAGCACTGTCATGTCACAGTAGTCATAATGTGCCTCACTCGTCCCCATTAGGTTGGGGGCATCTCAGAGAATCAAGCCACTTCTTATTCATCTTTGTGTTTCTAGAATTTAGCACAATATGTGATATTTTTAGGTTTTCCATAAACAGTTGTTAGACTAAAATTATATTTGTCTTAAGTGTATTTATTCCTTGTATAGATTTTGCTGGTCTCCAAATTATTAGTTTTTTTTTTTGTCTTCTGTAGTTGCACGGTTTTTTTTTTTTTTTTTTTTGAGACAGAGCCTCAAGCTATCCCTTTGGGTAGAGTGCTGTGGCATCACAGCTCACAGCAACCTCCAACTCCTGGGCTCAAGCGAGTCTCCTGCCTCAGCCTCCCGAGTAGCTGGGACCACAGGCACCAGCCACAACGTCTGGCTGTTTTTTGGTTGCAGCCGTCATTGTTGTTTGGCGGGTCTGGGCTGGATTCGAACCCGCCACCTTAGGTGTATGTGGTTGGTGCCTTAGCCACTTGAGCCACAGGCACTGAGCCTGTTGCACGGTTTTTTTGTGTGTGTGTTTTTGATTTTTTTTTGTAGTTGCACAGTATTGAACGGATATAGTGAGCTTTCTGTCAACTTGATACACTGAGCTTTCCATTAACAAAGGAGAAACTATTTCCTTCCATTGCAATTTAAATTTTTGTTTCCTCAGCCTAAGTTGTTTCAGGTCTTATTCCTGTGGATCTTTGATATTGGGAGTTTGGGTAAAACAACTAAGTCTGACTTCCATTTGCATTCCTTTTAAAAATGCTATTTCTAAGCAACTAAGCATAATTCAGTGGATGCCATGACGAGTGAGAGATTTACATCTGTGATGTTTCAGCTGAATACACACTATTGGCACTATAATTTCCACCCACTGAGTCTGCTTCAGAAATCTGGACAGAACAGAGGCCACCAGTATTGGAGCTGGCTGTCCTCCTCGCTCGAGCCCGTTGACGCACCATGCACAGCTTGGCAGGGTGTCCAGACTTCACACATTACTGCCTTTGTTCTCTCAATCCATCTACGTACTGCCCATTTGGGGCGTGAGGTGTCAGCTTCTTTTTCCTTAGCACCTGTTCATACGGAAAGGAATGAAAGATAAAAATGACAGACCTTACTATTAATGCGCTAATGGCCTTCCCTTATGTTCGGTAGAGGATTCAACTGGAAGTCGTTAAATGCTGTGGAAATTCCAATTTTCAGTATTTGGCTACAGTTGAAACAAAGCAATGTGCTGTTTAGCAGGAAGCACCAGGAAGGACACCTAGGGGCCAGGTTAAAATGATCCTCACTTTGGGATGGTCTAAAGAGTGAAGATTCATGTTTTCTCAATTATCAGTAAATAAAAAACTCATTTTCTCTTTTAACATAAAAAGGGAAAAGATGGTGAGTTTCTCCTGTACTACTGAGCCACATTTTTAAATGACATATGTGACATACGTTGTGTTCTGAGACACCTGACCTTTATTTTATTTATTTATTTATTTATTTATTTATTTATTTTGAGACAAAGTCTCACTATGTTTCCCTCAGTAGAGTGCTGTGGCATCACAGCTCACAGCAACCTCAAACTCTTGGGCTTAAGCAATTCTCTTGCCTCAGCCTCCTAAGTAGCTGGGACTACAGGTGCCCACCACAACACCTGGCTATTTTTTGTTGCAGTTGTCATTATTATTTAGCTGTTTAGCTGGCCCAGCTGGGTTCTAACCCACCAGCTTCGGTATATGTGGCTAGTGCCATAACCACTGTACTACAGGCACCAAGCCAATACCTGACCTTTAAAGTCATCAGACGGAAGGCTTTGTGCCATATAGAAAGGAAATATTTAGTTTGTCCAGACAGTGGAGTAGGGGGAGGGGAAGGAATTAGTCACCCTTACCAAGAGCTGTAGAAACAAGAGCTCTGTGCATTCCCATGGATGATGTAGAAGAGCTCCTAACTTCTTAAAAAGTAAAGATGACCAGAAACTTTTTTCATCTAGCCCTTCCTTATTCTAAGAATTGAGTTAAAAAACTGAGACCATGGCAGGGAAATCGTGCTACGCTCCCAGTTTTGCTGTTTCTCCTAAGTTTTCCTGGGATTTTGTTACATGGTCAATTTAGCAAACATCATGTGATCTAGGCAGTTGTTAAGTGGAACAGATTGTGGCTTTGCACTTCAGATTGGTTTGATTCTTCAGTCTCAGCAGGCTGCCTGCCTGCCCTCTGGAGGAATAAATCCTTTGGTCATGTAGACCAAAAGAAAGGAAGAAGAAGAAATGGGTGGCATCTCCCCAAAGGCCAGTTCATTGTATTGAGTCCCACGTTTCTCAGTATGTTTTCCGTGTATGCTTGTCTCCCAGCAGCCTGCTGAGAAACTTCAGTTCATATTTCCAACCCACATGTAACGTTTTTAAACGAAATCAGTCTAGTATGAACTCACTTTGCCTAATAATTGGAAAATGTACCATCTTTGAGGAAGAGAGGTAAAAACAAACTCAATTTCTACGAGAAGACATTTGGGAAAGATATTTCTTTCTGTTCTATGTAAAGCATGCATTTACAAATTCTTCCTTTTGAGGAATCTGGTTCTAAATCTATTCCAGAAAGCAAGCTTCATATTTTGGAGAAAGTCAAGTGACCTGGATAAATAAATGATCTCAGGGCTGGATGGTCTAGAAACATCAGCAATCTCAAAACAAAACCCACCAAGTAACGCGTGTTCTTTTTTCTCATTCACAGGCCTTCTTTCAAGGCAAACTGAAAATCACTGGCAACATGGGTCTGGCTATGAAGTTGCAAAATCTTCAGCTTCAGCCAGGCAAAGCTAAGCTGTGAAGAAGTCCCTTTGACTACTTTTGAAAATCAAGATGAAATATATAGCTAACATATCCATATATTTCATTGTGAGAATTTAGACTGAAACTTTACATTGGCAAATTGTGTGAGACAGATTTGTTTTTCAGTTGTATGACCAATCCTGTTTTTCCTAAGCTCTGGGTGGATAGAGCCTGATGGTGTACTGCTGCCTTGCTGAGCTGCAGACAACTGTGCATTACAAAGTTAATATGGTAATTATGGTTTGGGGTAAAACTGAGTTTCAGAATAAAATTAGGAAGAATAAAATCCAAAAAATTATGTAGATAAAAGCTCTTATTATGCTTATAAAGTATATTTAGGGATTATTCTGCTGAATATTCAATTTAAGAGTTTTCCTTGGGAGAACTAGTAAAGAAACAGTTCCAATAACTGGTCAGTAATTAGTGTTGTGCACTTAATGACCTTAATTAATGTCTCATAAATAGTGCTGAAAATTCTGCACTGGGATGAT